TAAAACAAAAAAAAGTGCAACAAACACCGACGTGTACTGACTGCATACAAAACAGCTTACAAAATATAATTGTAAGGTTTCCTTGAAAGACGAACACATATTTATCATTTTCCCAGTTTTATTAGACCAGTGTAGGACAATATTTGGATATGGTTCAATAACTTTTGCAGAGCAAAGACAAATGTGGAGGTTGTCTGTGGAGTTGTGTGTGTCTGTGATAAGATATTCCTTCTCATCAGCTAACAACCAGCATGCTTATAATATGGAAAACTAAAACATCTGAGATTTTTCTTTCTCTTGTGAGATTTCTCCAAATCATGTGAGGACATTTTCTAATTTTAATTTGTCTGTCCAGTGGGTGGGTTTTTGTCCTTCTGGTTAACATCCCTGAGATAAAGAAGAAACCCAACCTTAGTAAAAGGTTAAACAACCTTCAGTGGAGGTTTGAATAACTGTTGGAGACTTTGTAGTCACACGAAGACTAATGTTTAATGCTTGGGAGTGTTTCATGGAATTAACGTGCTTCGTGAACAAACTGATCAACTTAAGGTTGTATTTTTTTTTTCTTTCAGCAGAGTCCAGGTGTTTGTTTTCCCACTTTTGTTCGGTTTATCTGCAGCAAACAACAAGGGCAACGCTCTTGACTTTACAAACACAAGTACAGCATTTCTCCTTTTGATTTAGATGCACAAAATCTGTCTTTGCAGAGTTAAATATGAAAAACTAAAGGTGCATATTTTATCACAGGACTGAATTTACTGACTCTGAAATACAAAGCAGGCTGCAGTCACTCAGTCACATGGCCCATACAGAAAGACGTGTTTAGGACCAGCTCAGCATCCCAGGCAGTTTACAGCTTACACTATAATCAATGGTCAATCCAAAGCAGGATGTAGTCTCTCTTTATGTAGCCCAGTGAGATTGTTTTTTGAGATTTCTGCTTTTATGATGTTCAGTGGTCATGAGTAGCGTCTTATTTCTTAGCTGACATATTTTCCCATGACCCCTTGTAGAACTCTGATTGGAGGGCCTCTCCAAACCCAGGGCAACTTGAAATAAAAGGAGTGTTAAGTGGGTATACTGAGACAATGTTCAGAGCTAGTGCAGGAAGCACTGCGTCGCAAGGTGAATGTAGAGTATATGTAGATGCTGGGGATGTGTGTCTGTGTGTAGTGCAGCCATTTCTCCCAGTACAAACACAGTCAGATCTAAAGGCCACTAAGCAGCTCCACTGGTGCAGAGTGGGACGGTGGGGAGGGGGGTTCGGTTCTTTGCCAAAGGGCACTTCAGTGGTGGAAATGAAGAAGAACAAGTGCTTTTATTTCACTTTCCCAAAGCTGATTTATTCTGCTGGTTCAACTTGAATCGTTGACCCTCAGTCTCACGCCTGCTTCTCTATCGTTGTTAAGCACCATTAGCACCAACAGGCATCATCATCACCAACCATAACAGTGATCTATCCCCACCCATAACCATCTGCTCAAACACTGTAGGAATAAAACAATAAAAAAAACTCACTGAGCAAAACCCAGTGTTTTGCAGAATCATCGAGTATCGACACTGTGTCTGATGGTAGGGTTGATAAAATACAACAAAGCACTACTGTCCTTCTAAACTCAAGGTTCAGTCACCGGCCTTTTCCTTTTGGCTTTTAACCACCTTCTCTTCTTCACAGAAAGGTAGTAAGACAGAAAGTGAAACCTCAGTTTAGAACACGCTACCAAAATGATGGGACCCAAGACTAAGAATGAACCACCAAGCTATTTTTTTATGGATATACTGCAGTCTCCTGAACCTCGAGGTGTCACATTAAGTTTTCTCCTGAACTGCTCTGCTGTGAGGTATCTGATATACAGCAGTGCAGTTCAGCTCCAGCTCCTCAAGGAAGGTCTAATAATCACTACTGTATCAAATGGAAATGTTCTCTTTGTTTTGAGCATCGTGTGAGACACATAACCCCTGAACTGTCAGTTCTAATGTATGTAAGGGCCAAGGGGCTTGTTCAAAACATTTAGAAAACAGAAACATATACCCTGTTTATCCCTGTATTAGAAACGTTTTTTAAGTTCAAAGTGCTTGAAAATTCTAAATATCCCAAATATATGTTTGATTCTTACAAATGAGCACTGCTCGTTACGGATCCATGAGGCATTAGGGCTAAGATCTTCATCCTCTGCACCTTCAGCATCTGTCAGGTCTGCAGCCTGGAGACTGAGCAGAACCTGCAAATGCTCTAAAAATCTGCTGCGGCGTTTCTTTTTCTCCCTCCTAAATATTACCCACACTAAAATTACATATCTGCCTCAGGGCCTTGTGTAACCTGGCTTTGATTCAGCACAGTTGTGACCCACTTCCCAGATCAATGACATCTGGAGGTGGAGGAGGAGGTGGCAGAAGGGACAGGGGGAGGGAGGGACGGAGAAGGGAAGGAAGGTCGCGGGGAGGTGCTGATGATGTCTAACAAACGTGCCCAGCAGGAGGTAACCTCTGGAGCAGGTAGCGTGGAGGAGGCACTAAACGAGGACGACATCCAACTGTGTGTTTCATTATGAACAGATGCTGCCGCAAAGGGAGGGAGAGCAAGGAATGTAGGACTGAAGAGAAGGAGGGAGGAAGAAGAGAAAGAATGACTGAGAAGTCAAGGATGTGAGACAGGTGTAGAAGGAAGGATGGAAGGAAAAGATGTGGCAGGAAGAGAGAGAAGAAGGGATTAAATGAAGGTAAAGACAGAAAGAGAGAACAGGTGGAAGTAGGAAAAGAAGGAAGGAAGGAAAGAAGAGAGAGGAAAGTGAGGAAGGGATTAGATGAGCACTGTAATCCTTTACAACTGCAGCATCACCTCTGACTCTGTGTGTATGTGGACACGTCTTTCTATGGTTGTGGACACATTTCAGTTCAGTGCCATCACTGTGAGGACATTTTGGTTGGTGCTGACACCTCCAGGGGCCTGTTTGGGGTTCAGATTTGAATTAGGTTTAGGTTGGGTTAGGGTTTCGCCAGCGGTTCCCAAATGGAGGGGAGCGGCAAAGGCTAAATATAACTGACATCTATGGTAGTGAGGGTGGTAGGGAGGACTGAAATATATTTAAAAGGTGCAGTGTGTGTGCATAATTATGTTTAGCTTAGAAGGAGGAGGAGGAGCCACCATGTTTGCTATAGTTGCCCAGAATTGACAAACCACACGCTGAATCTAGAGCGTGAAATGTGCCTTTTCACATTAGTAGCAGCTTGGATTTGGAGACACAAGGAAGACAAAGAAGAAGCACTATTAGAAACAAGAGGAAGCATTGTGGTGAGTTTAAGAACTATAATTTAAAGAAGTGAAGTATCATAGTTCCACTTTAACACAAGAAAAGGGAAGACTGCACGAATCCCCATCGTCAAAGAAGCAAAGACATGAAGAAATGGGATAGGCAGCGGCACAAGACAAGAGTAAACACTGGTGGCCTTTCCCAGATGGAAGTCAAATGTTCCCAGAATGACAGGGAAGCTGCCTGTTTTCTGCTGGACAGGTGATTTAGCCTAAAGTTAAAGCTAAAATTAACCTAAATACAAGTTTTGTTTAATGCTGGAACACAGCCAGTGCTGAGTAACCCACTGCGGTCAAATGAGCCAACGTTAGCTTGGTCAAGTCAGCAGCGCTTGTTTTCCGAGTGCACTATTTGTCTTACTCTTACAGTAGTTGCTGTAAAAGCGCTGTGAGAGCTAGTTACCACGATGTTGTGATCTTCAACGTCACCACTAGATGTCACTAAATCTCACACACTGCACCTTCAAAGCATGAAAGCAGGGACTGATCATAAGTAGTTTGGGAACTGCTGGGTACAGTTAAGACTTGGGGGTGGATGTTGAGTTGTGACAGTTAAGGTCTAGGTAAGGGGCTGGGGATATGGGGGTTGTATTATGTCACTGGTTGTTCATGCAAACCAGATATACAAATACTTGTTAGTGTCAATATGCAGATAATGAGCCATGTGTGTGTAAAGTGACCAAAGGAAAAGGAAACCATGTCCAGTACAAACAAAATGTACTGGGGGAAGCTTGATTGATTGAACCAGGACACAAATCTGAAGTCAGCTTGCATTAAACTCTTTTAGCAGCTGAACTTAGATGATCACCTGAACTACTAGATAAACCAATTACTTTAGCTGCTAAACTGAACCGAACTGGACTAAACGGCTAAGATGCCAAACAATTTCAGATATCAGATCAAACAGTTTCATGTAAAGCAAAAAAAAAAAATTATGTAACTCCCACAGTGACCTGTTTACTAGCCTGAACCAAAGGGTTAAAACGGCTTCTCGACATGAACCACTAGCTGATGGAAATGTAACTATTTTTACTAAATTTACTATTTAGTTGCCTAACTGAGCTGTTAGTGATCTACTTAATAGGACCAATATAAACCCAAGTATTTTCATAATTTATGTTTTTTACTCACTTTGTTTACTCACAATTTTGATCAGTGTTGAGCTTTAATGCCTTGATTAATTCACACAACTATTTTATTCATAATTAATTTAATATTAGAATCTGAATTTTCCCATGAGCTGCAGGCTCAACATGTCTTCGTGGTGGAGGAACGGAGTGTCTCTGTCTTTTTTTTTACACTCAATCTGTGTTTAGAGTTTGGTCTCATTTCAGATTTTTTGTGTTTTTGAATGTTGCATCCAGTTTGACCATGTGCACCCCTTATTTACACTTTTTTTCTGTTTGCCAAGACAAATATTATCAGTATCCTAAGTGTTGCATTCAGCTGTGACAGTGTGAGTTTATGGCTTGTTTACACGTTTTTGTTTTGTTTTTATCCAAGATTTTATTTTGCGTTATTGTGGCTCTGCAAACTGCTCCTTTTTCAACTTTGGTTTTCTTCAACCAGCTTTTAATACTCCTACATGTTTTTTGACATTTTTTTCTCACTGATGAGACATTTTGCATGGAATGTGTTTTCTGCGTTGCGTTACCTGAGGTGTAAGACGTTCGTATCTATCCTCTTGTAGGTGGAGCGTCGTCGAGCACCAAGCCGGAGAGGGGGGCCGGACAAAAAAGACTGCCTTAAGACAAAACTAAAGACACAGAGCATCTAAAGCTTCTCTTTTTTCCTCCTCCAATTTACACAAAGAAAACAGATTCAGTTCTCAAGCTTTTTTTCTTCTTTGCTGCAGTTTGGAGGATTTTTTTCTCTTCCATTTCCTCCTTGTCTGTGGTTGTGAACTGCTTTTTTGTCATATTTCACATTCCTGGTGCAAGTTTTTGTCAAGGATCAAATCACAAAAACAAAATTAAAAAAAATAACAAGAAAGACAAAATGTTTTTGTTGGAGACAAAGTTCTGAACAACAGGGAATAAATCACGTTTGGTTCTTCTGGGCTCTTTTTTCCTTCCATGTGCTTGCTAGGCCGTTTTCGAGAGGTGGATTTATCCTTCTTTGTCGAGGCTGCGCTCTTTTCTGTGTGGATGAAACCGAAGCCTAAGTGGAAACATCACATTTGCAGTGGATTATCGACTCTCCACCTTTGATGGATTTTTGCTCTTGTTGCTCTTTTTTCTGCTGGTTTTGGGGCATTTTTTCCCTGTGTGAAAACTGTAGTTCCACTTTGTTTTCCAAGGGTCACATTTTATGTGGAAATCAATCCCTTTTGAAACATGTAACTGTTTTTTTGGTAGCCCTGGTGCCTGTAGTTGATGATTGACAGTCAGGGTTCGGAGGACAGGGTGAATGGCGTGCAATCAGCTGACCCACATCCTCGCACCGGCCAGTAGAAGCTCTGGTAGTAACCAACAGGTAGTAACCATGTCACTACTGCCACTCTCGTGCCTCCCTGTTTAAACGAGCATGTGGCCACAGTTAAGGGAGTCAGATCAGATCCTAGCTTAGCACGAAGACTGGCAGCAGGGGAACTGCTAGACGAGCTGCCAAGAGAAAAAAAGACTAAAGCACCACAAAGTGTCAGTATTTGGCAGAAAAAGTCACTTTTACATATATTTCCTCCTGAGTGCAATGTCATGTTTGTTTTTTAAACAAACAAACAAACAACCACAAAGATATTCACTCTTGTTTGAGCTCACTTTATTTACAACCTTTCACTCATCAGACCTTCATCACATAAAACTCATACACACAAAAAGCACATGCGTAGGATAAACATAACCCAGGAGAAAGTAACCAATCAGAAGGAAGCAGCAGCTCCCTGGTATTCATACTGATGAGGCTCAATGAGCTGCACTAATCATAATCAAACCCTCATAACTCAGCTGTAATGTGCTGCTCAGAACATGCTGGTCAGTTAGTCAGTAGCCAAATTCAAGGGATCTGTACCAAAACGTCTGTATATGTCCTGTGTTTGTATTAGAAATGAATATTGGATGATACAAAAAAGAAAAGGCTAATAAAAAAGTAAGTGGTTGACAGGTTCTTGCAGTTGTGGCCTGTTTCAGATTCAGGAACACTTTTAGTACCACGTGCACATATCAAGTCCAAGCAATCCTGCAAATAGTTAAACAGCAGTTGCACCATAAATGAAGAACAAATTTAGAAGTTGTTCCACCTCATAGCCTCCTTGATCTGCTGTCATGCTAGCACTTCCCCTGCCTCCAGTCTCTGTGCTAAGCTACAGTAAATGCATCCTAATCTCATTACTGTATCTTATAGTATTAATATAGCTAGGATGAAAAATTGACATATAATATTAAAATGTAGTATCATATATGATAGTTTACAATATATGAATTGCAGCAGAATATGATTATGATGTTATGGGGGAACGATGTGAACTCGTCTATCTGTCTACACTATCTATCTGTCTCTATCTCCCTCTCTGCTGCGCCATATTTGAACCAAATCAGCTCTCCATCTTCATCACTCCTCTTCCTCCTTTCCTTAGCAAAAGTTTCAACTTGTAAAAGACAAAATAGCTTGTGTTTTTTATGACATTCACTGCCAGTGAATCCAGTCATCCATGCAGTTAAAGTCTCTGCGACCTGTTAATCAAATTGCTAAAGACCTCCAGGCAGATCTCCACTTCCTTGTATCTTCCAGTAATTAAACCTGTGCAGGGCTCAGCTGGTTGCTTAGTATGACTGCTTAGTCACAGATGAGTAACCACCGATCAAAGCCTGGACTATTTGTAAGTGTTTATTCTGAATTATCGCAGTATGTTCATGGGATATAAAGTTGTAAAGTGGTGTATGAATTTGAGTATTTGTAGTCGACACAGGTTTTCGGTAGGAATCAAACGGAGCACTTCAGTGACCTCCTGCTGTACCTGTGAATGTACTTTGTATTCAGAGGTTTTTATTACAATAAACAAGTGCTGATATCAGATATGATGCTGCTTCACCTTTTGTATATTAGGGCTTTTTCTGTCTTATGCCTGCATGTGTAAAGCCAAATTGCAAGGCCCTGCTGAGGAACTGCAAAAGAAATCTGCAGTGTGTGGTTCTGGTTAAATATTTTATAACACTGTTTATTTTTATTTTTATAGGGACGCACGGTACCTAGCATGAACCACTACACTACACTTAGAGAACAACATAAACCAGCCGTGACACAGTACCGACTTTCTATCCAAAATTTTAACTGCCTAATTATATATCACTTCAGCAGCTTGAGTGCTGAGAAGGGAACGCATAAACACATTTGCAAGATTAAACAATAAACAGCCTCTGAAAGCTTTTACAACCTTGACCACCTTTCTTTCTTTTCTCCTCACATTTTTTGTGTGAACCTAACGCACAGTAAGAGGAAGCTGTACTGTGTATGCTTCAGAAACTGGCCGCATGCACACAACCTTTAACCTACCGGAAAAGCGATCTGATTTTTTTAGGCCTGAGTTTTCATCTGTGCTGAATAAAAGAGGAGTATCAGGAAGTTTTATCTTGACCAGAGCGCTTAGTTTCAGCTATTGTATAAACCAAACTTTGTCACAAATTGATCCTGAATACAAAAATCGACTGGCTTAATGTATGCCAAGTGTATGTTGTACTGTATGTAAAGTTCAACATGTTAAAATCACCCAGACGGTCACATGAAGCTGTCTTTGTGAAAATCATTTAGGACTGAACACCTGCAATATACGACAACAATGTATTAAGCCATATCCAGCTCCGAGTTAGTCTTGGACCTGAACTAAGTGGTCATGACCAGGAGGTCAAAGGTCAGAAATGACCTGACAGTGAACATGAGAAGATAAAGATAAAAAAAAAAAAGAACATTCAGCCTATTTTTATTATTTATATAATTATATCTTGTCATCTCTGAGGCTGTAGAGAAGTGAAAATAGCCTTACTGGTAATGTGTGGTTGTTTGTGAAGTTTCTGTGAAGTGTGTGTTGTGGCAAACTTTCTGAAGTTTGTGTCGGATCACTTAGGTACCCTGCTGTCATTTTCTGACAGATTTTCTCCTTCACTGACAACTCTACACCTGGTTACACACATCTCTCAGCCTATATATGTGACGCTGCTCTCATTTGGTCTATGTGACTAAATTTCTATCAGCTATTAATTTCAGAAATGTTGTGTGTGTATAAATATAGCTACAGTCTGCAGGTAGACCTGCTCCCTGTAAACTCAAAGGTCAGATCTCAGATCACCACCTTATAATCCGAGTTTATCCAACAGTTTATCCAGTCGAGCTGTAACCGTTTTTCTTGATGGGAAGGAGAAGGGAAAACAGTGGCTTGTTGTTTTTAGAGACAAAACCATAGTCACATGAAATTTGGATTTTTTTTTATTTGACTATTCAAATATTTGAAAATCACTGACCGCCCCTAATTCTGATAGTGTGAACAAGACAAAGTGCATCTTTAGTCAGACACTCACAACACAACCAGTGACTGACTTCGATGTGTCTTCATCAAGATCAGTATCATCTTTCTTTAGCCCACTGAAGCAAAAAAGGAAAAAAATCTCCAGGGCCAAACCTTCAACACAACTGTTCTTGAAATTCAGCTTTTTGTGAATCACATTATTCAGTGATATTCCTATGATCGCAGCTGCATGGATTTGAACCGACAGACAGTGTAAAAACAGCTCACCCAGCCAAATGTCTTGAGAACTTGCTGTATGCTATGTCTGAGCACAGTGTGGCCTACCTCCCCAGAGCTAGTGACCCCTCCCTTGCTGTCTTGAGCCTTTGCAACTAACATTATCCAACCAACAGCTGCAAATGAGTAATTGATTAGTTGACTGGCAGAAGATAAACTGTATAAGCCATTCAACAAGCACAAATACTGTCAGGTCCCAGTTCATACACTGTGATATATGTTGTTGGTTTTGTTTCTTTCTTTGTGTCACTGTAAACTGAATATTTCTGGGTTTGGACTGGTGCTTGGTCAAATCTTGTGACTATGTTCTGACTCTTTAGATCAACTGACTTGACCTGTCTGAAGAATAGCTGCACCCTGAAACCGCCAGTACTCCGAGCTTTACCATACTTTAATAACAGTGTACCACCCAGAAGCTATAGGTACAGTTCAAATGTAGTACAAAAACAGTTTGCAAGCCCAGCTCTCTTTCCCAGGAAGCTGCCCAGTACAACCACAGACGGACCTGCTGCCAGTGAGCAGCTCCACTGGAGTGGTTAAGGGCACCACAGTGGTCATGATGATGGTGTCCCACCCAGAACCTTAGCAAGCTTGCTTCGCTAACCTTTAGACCCCACTGCCCCCTTCTGACCCCTTCTGTCCAGACAAACAGGGCAACCGAGCAAAAAGTCAGGTCAAATCATATTTATATATGTTTCCCACTTTCACAAATCACAAAGTTGTCTCAAGCAGTTTTAGAATCTGCACAGCATTCTGTCGTTATGGGTCATACATGTTTTTATCAATTTAACCCTGTCCATGTTAAATCTACAGCACAATGAAATGTGCAGAAAGTGAAGGGCTCTGAATTCTTTCTGAAATCATTACAGCCCTGTTTCTACAGATCACTGAGCTCTTTATGCGCAGGCTGCCACAGACAAACATTATCTCACTGATCACAGTCAAACAGTATTACAGGAGTGATACAGAGAACTGGCCAGTGACAGGTGGGAAGGGCCTAGTAAAGGCACCAAGGTCTGTGCGTGCTCAGGGTCGTGTCTATGTTAGGATTTATGGAGATCAGTGAGACGGTCATGAGCCTTTTTGGATCAGGTACAGATATTGTTGGCTGTTAATGGCCTCCAGTGTGTTTGTGTGTGTTGGCAGCTCCATGCTCATCTTTCTGGAAGAGTTCCACATTTTGGTGTTTTTACCTTATCAGTTGTGAGCCAAAGATGTGTGTTTTTTAGCGTGTGTGTGAGTGAACCAGTCCATACTTAGTGCTGCTGTTATATTTTAATTAAAGCCAAACAGCAGGCTTAATTACTGCCATGATAAACAACACCTCTCTCTCTCTCTCTCTCTCTCTCTCTCTCTCTCTCTCTCTGTCTCTGTCTTTCTCCCCACTCCTGTCTTCAAAGCACAGACAAAGCTTGCCCAGATATATACGCACATACACGCACACACACACGGAGCCTGCGGTCGGTCTCGGCGGTGCAGCAGAACTGTGTTTATGGCTGTTAATGAAAACTGAGGCCAGAGTCCCAGAATCCCAACGCTAATCACCATCCAACTCTCTGGACAGGAGGGAGAGAGGGAGAGTTTGCAGAGACGCATGAGCACATTCATGTCTGTACATGCAGAAAGAGATAAAAAGTGAAAATGTGGAAGAGCAGTCATCCATCTCTCGCATGTGCTGCAAGTGCTGCGGTGTGGCCAGCAGTGTGTCACTGGTGCACAAACACAAGCAGTGTTCAGTTATGACCCAGGTGGAATCAACTTCGACTTCATGCATGTAGCAGTGATGTGGAGTTAGTGTGTGTGTCCATATTTAGATATGGAATATTTCAATCATGATTATTGATGTTGACTCATTATATATGAATCATTTACAAAATCATCAGTGTTTAAAGAATATTTACATTTAATTAAGTTTTTTTAATAGTTTTATTCCATCATAATAATAACTGTGCACTCGGGTTAATATCTGAGATCTGGGGCATCACAAAAAAAAAGAAGTAACACAAGGAGCCAGACAGGCTGGGAGAAAAACCTCCAGTTTGGTCCAACGTAGTTGGGAAAATGAAAGTGAACAGTAACATTTTTACCCAGACTCTGTGATAAACATCTATTGTGCTACAGCCTGATATTAAATATAAGTTTATAAAGACAAGGGCTATCTGTGTAAGTGGTGTTTCAGTGACTGCTTGGAGCGTGAAGGACACTGCATAAGGCTGACCTCTACCTCACAGCATCCAAGAAGAGAACCGTTCACAAAATGCACCAAATCTGCAAGATTAAACTTTGCCAAAGAACATGAACAACAGAATTCTGGCCATTGGCAGCACATTCTTTGGTCAAATGGACCCAAAATAAATGAGTCTGGATCAGATGGGGCCCAACATGTTTGGCGTGGCCCGGGACCAGATCAGCACACTGCAGCACGGAGGTGGGAGCGTGCTGGCGTGAGACTGCGAGTGCAAAAGGTGTCGGGGACATGATGGCACCAAGAAAGCACTTTGTACCAACTGAATGAAAAGATGACTCCCAGTCACAAGAGGCCGAGCAGGAGACGACTTTGATGACAGTGACCCCAAACACACTGCAGAGTCTGACAAGAACGTGTAAAGAACAAACTAGTGAAAACTCTGAACAGCCACGTATGTCCCCCGAAGGCAGAGCAACAAACTCCTCCAGCAAAGAGCAGCTGAGAACAATCACCAGTGAAGAACGACAAAACATCTCCCCACAGATCTGTAGAAGACTGATCGTCCATGTGCAGGAGGGTCCAGTCTGTCAGCAAGAATAAACAAGGACATACAGAATATTTCAAAAGTAAAAGAATGGAATCTCACTGGAATGGAAAAACAGCATCGTCAGCTGTTTGTGCCGATGCACTAGCATCAAAGTTTCATGTATGGATGTGCACAGATTCTTCTTTTGCCAGTTTCCTCAGAAGCTGGGTGGAAACTCACTTAATAGATGAATTACTAAATTTAGAAAACCTGATTCCTCCATTGGCTTGTTTGCAACCTGTCTGACCATCCAGCTGCTCATGTTTGTCAGCCCAGATATCTAGTCCCAGATATTAACTGATTAAGTACAAGGTTATTATTAAAAGGAATTATTACATATCTGTACTGATTTACTGCAGCTTTTAATGGAGAAAACACCAAACATAAATATGCAAACAAAACTATAGCACACTACGCATATCGGTGCAAAATGGACGTCCACCTGAGCCTCTGTAGAACATATATTGTGCAGCTTCATATGTAAATTT